GCCATACTCCCGCCGCTCACGGCATGCCACCCCGCCTTCTCCCCGTCCCCCAGCCCCTCGCTGGCAGCCCTTGACGCCCACCGTGGCCTCCTCAGATGGCACATACACTACAACCTGCTAGTGCTCAGAATGATATCTTTTGCAGCAGACCTGCATTGGAAGCGGCTGGGGCGGCCGCCGCGCACGCGCTTGCCGGCAGACACGCAGCCGCGGCCGGATCTTGACTTACGGGTGCGCACGGGGCTTGCAATTGATTTTCAAACGGTTTCACCACAAGTGTTGAGGCCGCCGTTGAGGGGAGGGGACTGGAACAAGGGAAGGAAGGGACCCGTAAAAGCACCTGCAGCGCCGCTGACCGCAGCATGAGCTCAAGGGCTCGAGGCGCGCCGGCGCCCGGCGTCGGGTGCCGCGGCGTGCTGACGTCCGGCAGCCCTGTCCGCCTCACACGTGCACCCCCACCCGCTTGTCAGGCCCGCTCCGAGCTGCACCTGCCGCCTGGAAGTTACAACCTCCAAAATTTCCTGGCATATGCCCTGTACAGCCCGTTGTATATCGCCGGCCCGATTCTGACGTACAACGCATTTGTCAGCCAGCTACTGGCGCCCAGCAGCGCGACCACCCCCGCCGCGGCCGCGCGGTACGCGCTGCGCGGCGCGGCGTGCTGGGCGTGCCTCGAGGCGATGACCCACGGGCTGTGGTTCTTCTCCGTATCAAGGCACCGGCTTTGGGAGGCGCTGGGGCGGGCGGAGGGGCGGCCGCTGGGGCCACTGGAGATGGTGCTGTCGCCGTGGTGGATGATGATGCTGGTGTGGTGCAAGTTCCTCGTGACCTGGCGCTTCTTCAGGTGATCTCAGATCACGGGGAAGCCTAAAAATGTCCTGTCCTCCAGGGCTGCTTGCCCCTGTCTGATTTGTGTCCCCAGGGCACCAAACCTTTGTTGCATCCCCTCGAAGCTGACCAAAAAGCCATGAATTGCCACAACACCCTTGAAGCCGCGCGCACACACACACACGCACGCGCGCGCACACACACACACACACACACACACACACACACACACACA